AAGCAGAGGGGCGGGATATAAATAAAAATTTATTATTATTATTATTACTAGCTTTTCTTCCTTTTTAATCACTTTTGTCATCTTGACCACTCTCTGATATTGCTTGGTCATATATGTCCCAGTTTGTTTGTTTTTTTGTGAAATGTTGGAGGACATGCCATGATGGTCTGCAACTGTGCTATAGCTTGTAACTAAGAGCCACAGATGATAATCCAAGAGTCCCAATATATGTTGTTCATCCACCATCAGTGAGTTGTCTCAGTTGGATGGTGTCCTTTTGCTTTGCTCTTGGAGTTCTCCCATCAGCCAGGAGGCGCATTATATCAAAATGAAAATGCATTAGAACACAGGCCAGCATGATACGTGAACCTGCCGTTTCCTCACAGAATGCGAATATAGACTAACTGTTTCTCTTCCTCGCAGAAAGCATAATCACTTATGCACAGTTGGAATAAGTCTGGATCTCATTCAAAAATAAATAAATAGCTTTTTTAAAAAAAGTCACAGCAGATCCCGATTGCTTGTACTACATTGCCATAGAAACAAAACAGAAGTATAAGCCAAACGGGTCCCTTCTGTGTTCTCAATTCATTTTTACGATGTGATATCCGCGGGGGGGGCGGGGGTTCAGTGATGGAAAGGAAACTCAGAGATGTAAGGTAATAGAGCTTAAAAAGGTATTGCTGTTTATTTCTCTGTTGATATAAGAATAAGCAGGCTGCCAAGTTTTGCAACATTCCTTATCAAGTAAGATGAAACTTGCATGCTCTGACACCCATCTTAAACACTGATTTGGCTTCTCTTACAGCCGTCTTGCAACTTGACATGCATGAAATCCACATTTCCCACTACATAAGAGGAAATAAGAAGAAGACTGGGAATGGGAAGGGTAGCTATGAAAGAACTAGAGAAGATCCTAAAATGCAAGGATATACAACTGAGCACAAAAGCTAGAATTGTTCAAGCCATCGCATTCCCTATCATTGTGTATGGATATGAGAGCCGGACAGTCAAGGAAGCAGACAGAAGAAAAATCAACTGATTTGAGATATGGTGCTGGAGAAGAGGGCTGAGGATCCCATGGACAGCCAAGAAGACAAACAAATGGGTCCTAGGCCAGAGATCTCATTAGAAGCCAAGATGATTAAACTGAGGCTGACATACTTTGGCCATATAATAAGAAGGCATGGAACACTGGACAAGACAATAATGTTAGGAAATGTAGAGGGCAGAAGAAGGAAAGGAAGACCACATGCCAGATGGATTGATTCAGTCAAGGGGGACATAGGCATGGGATTGCAGGAACTAAGCAGAGAAGTGGAAGATAGGGGTTCTTGGAGGTGTCTCATCCACAGAGTTACCATGAGTCGAGGTCGACTTGGAGGCAGATAACAACAACAAATGGGAGTTTGTCGCATTGGTTTTGCTCCTGCGATAGATGCAGGACCTAACTTTAAGAAAGCGGATCTTATTACATTTCCTTGTCGCTGGGAGTTTGCAAACTGGGCTTCTTTCTCCAAGCTCCTCCCGCATCTTTTCAAGGATGGGATTTTCCCATCCTTGAAAAGATGTGGCCGAAGCCCAGATTGCAAACAGGCTGTGTACTCCCTGGCGATGGGGTAATGTGATAAGATCCACCTTCTTAAAGTTACATCCCGTGTGTATCGCAGGAGCAAAGCCAATACGATAAACTCCATGGTTGATGGAGCATTACATTTCTCTAACGCACCTGTACAGCAGAGTGCGCTTGTATGAAATATGTTTGTTGCATTATCTTATAGTGGTAGCTGCATCCTGGATTATTTCTGCAGTGAGGATTTGGCAGGGACAGTTCCAACTAATCCTCCACCGCACGACTTTTTCAACTGCTTTTAAAAGTTTCTCTCTCCTCCTGCTAATTTCACCCCTTTGTCCTCAGCTTACTTCAGTTGCTGCAAATTGAGTTCAAAGTGCAAAAGGAGTTTGGGCTCTTATCAACTCAGCAAGGGGGAAAGGAGAGGAAGGGCAGAATAGTGACCTTCCCAGTAGGCTCAGACAAAAGCAAACGGCTGCAGCCTCTCCTAGCATTCTTATAGCATTCTCCTAGTGTTCTTCTTCATTAATAACTTTTGTCATCTTGCATTCTAGCATTCCTAGCATTCCTAGCATTCTCCTAGTGTTCTTCTTCATTAATAACTTTTGTCATCTTGACCACACTTGGCCACAGTTTACATCTGTAAAATGGGTAACAGAACTCTAACATTTGAACCTTATTTATCAGTAACATTATAGCCACTTTCCCAACCTCTTAACTGGAAAGAAATGTTTAACTGAAACGTGAGAAAGCAGTGGCGGAGTCCTAAAGTATAGAAAAGGAGACTGTAGCACTTCAGACTGCAGGGTGGAGGACCACATTTTTCTTGAAAAGTGTTAAAACTACACCAGGGCTGCACC